GTGTTGTGTTTGCAGGAATATGGAGCAGTGTTTTCTCCCTGAGTCTGACTCAGCTTTGGAGTCGCATCACTGGAGTGATCCCATCCTGGGCCAGCAAGATTGGGGAAGAAGTGAACCAGACAGGTAAGAGGATTCCCTGTGAAGCTTCTCAAAAGTTTGGTTGCCTTTTAGCTGTATTAATGAGCATAAAGATCCTAGTTCTTTGTTCAGACCCACAAAAATTTTACCTTTTGGGGGTACAGTGGCTAGTCACTGGGTCAGTATATCATCCTCCCTTATCTGTAGACACAGATGACAAATCATCAACGTCAGACACACTTCAGGCCAGCCCTAAGACTGACTTGGCAAAAAAGCTGAGCATCTTTCTGTCCAGCCGCCCCATTATCAGCCAAGTGTTCAACTTCCTTAGAGGCTTCCACCTGCACAGGAACTACAGTGAGAACTGTGACTTCACCACATGGAAAGGTCAGAACATCATTTATGCTGTCAAGTTTAGCCTAATTAGTACAATTCCTCTCTTGAATCAGTTTCATCAACCTGGGAAAGGATTAATTATAAAGTAGACTTTCTGCAGACACACATCCAGATGCCTTCCCAAACTCCCTGACACCAGCAGACGCCACACTTGGCCTGGTGGATACTGCTTTTGTCATCAAGTCAGGATTCCCTCCTGTGTTACGCTGTAACAGACGCGCGGACGTCATTCTGTCCCTGAACTACGCTTGGGACCCGGACCACTTCAAGGTGAGGAAGACCACAAAGATAATGTCAGATTACGAGGAGAATAGGATTAAATGTGATTCTGTTGTTTCTGTTTGTGTCCAATAGGTCATTAAGCAAACTCAGGAGTACTGCGCTGAACGCAAGATTCTTTTTCCAAAGATCGATTATAAGAAGCTGGAGTCCGAGCCGATTAGGGAAGTTTATGTGTTTGAGGATAAAGAGAATCCAGATGTTCCCATAGTGATCCACTTTCCCTTGGTCAATGTCTCATTCAAGCAGTTCAAGTCTCCTGGTGAGTACTACCATCTGTAACCTGTAAGTTGGTGTTATTAAAGGGATAGTTCACCCCAAAATTAAAATTCTAGCATTTACTCACCAAAAAGTAAATTTGAGAAATATTCCAACAGTTTTGTCCATGCAGTGATAGTCAATGGGATCCAAAACAGTGGACCCTATTGACTTTCATTGTATGAACAAAAAGCACTGAGGCATTTTGATATTCTGTGACCTGCAGAAGAAATAGTCATACAGGTTTTGAATGTCATAAGAGTGCATAAATGTTGGCAAATAATTTTCATTTTTGGTTGAACTATTGCTTTAAGAATCTTAGACATTCTCCTTTTGCATGAAGATATACAGAAGATTACAAGGTGTATTTATATTAACTAATTGTGTGTGTGTGTTTGTGTGGCAGGAGTGAAGAGAGGGGGTAAGGCGGAGCTGGAGGAAGGAGATTTTGATATTGACTTCACTAGTATGTTCTGTCCATTCGCCACTCACAACCTAACATACCAACCTGAGGATTTCCAGAAGCTGACCAACCTCACCACCTACAACATTCTGAACAACACGGATGTCATTTTAAACGCGCTGAATAAAGCACTGAAGAGAAACATGGAGAGAATTCCTGTCACAAAGGTGTCAAAATTCTGATTTGATGTTGAGAAGAGAAGTTAAAGCTGACAGCAGGAGCAACTGGAGAGTGATTTTTGTCTATTTTACTTCACCCAAAAATGTCATTGTTCATCACCCTCATATTGTTCCAAAACTGATCAGATCAGTGTTAATACAATCTACTCTTAAAAACAAAAGTGAGGGGGACCAGGAACTGTCAAGCTCACTAAATGACATACTGCATAATACAAAAGTCCATAACAGTAGTCCAAATGATGCCATACTTGCCACTTCCAAGTGTTTTGAAGTCATAAGATAGCTTTGTCTGAAGGACAGCCCAACATTCAAGTTTATAAAAGTATTCACCAAAATCCGTCTCCTCTGTCATAGCTCTCTGATCTCATTTGTGTTATTTCAATATACGTATATTCTAAATTGGATGAACATGAATGTGAGTAAATGATGTAAATCACAGATTTTTCATTCATTGGTGAAATATTTTTTCACACTTGTTATTCAACTAGAGATTTTATATTTGTAGTTAAACGGATGTTAAATGTGTGCACTACTGTTCAAAAGTTTGGAGATTAAAAAAACCTTATGCTCACCAAACTGCATTTATTTTATATTTTCAAATATAATTGAAAATAGCTGTTTTCTACTTTAATTAGATTAATTTCTACTAGTAATTAAAGTTGTTCAAAAAAGTGCAATAAACTTACTTGGCTGTGGTTACTTTGTTGGTTTTAATGTTGGCACTACTTTTTTTTTTTTAATTTAAAAAATTAAGGCAGCCATTTTCAACAAACATTTTTAGTAGTTTAAGACCACTACTATGGCAACCAAAACAAATATCGATTTATTAATTAAAAGGTTAATGTTATTTTATTTGCAGACATCACTAGTGTACAATGATTTTTGATTAGCTAATTAAGCACAAAAGTTGTATTCCAAATACATGGCAGTTTCTTCTGGCCATGATTAATTTAGCTGGAGAGAGAATTATTTTATTTTATTTTATTTTTTTTCTATGGTTCCCAGTTGTTTTCCTATAAAGCGTCATCGGGGTGTGTGCCATATCTATGTACTGCCGGTCTATGATATCAATAAATAGTTTCAGTATAACACTGTAGGATCCTAGAATCTTCCCTTTACAGGGGCATGAATGAATGTCAACTTTACAAACAAACCATACTAAAGCAAGCATCAACAGCCAATAAATTAATGTGTTACTAAAGATTTTGATAAAAAGCATTCTTGTGGAGTTGAATGATAGGGCCTTATCTCGTAATCCAAATATGATTGAGTTTCTACCCCCAAAACACCCGCCTGCTCTGGATCTGATGTGAATATAGATGTGCTGATTCCATATGCAGATTATTAGATTATCATTCTGTCGTCAAGAAAATGTTATTTTATAACTTTTTTCTTTGCATTGTATGGGAGCATTTCATGTACATAATTTTGTGATAAGCAAAAACATGCATAAGGTTTACAAGGAAACAAAGCAACGTTAATGTTTATAATGGCTCAATTTTCTCAGATTAGACCTTGAATCAGAAGGAATGTAATGATTACAGAGCATTTGAATGAAAGAGGGCAAGGCTGGTATTTATGAGCATGGGAGGGTTTTCATAAACACACTTCCTTATAACTGAAATCTTAGTTTTTTTTTTAAAGTATTATAAGCCTTCAGGGTGTGTCACCTTCATTTTCATAATCAAAGACAGTTCACATCAAACGCAATGTTGTATGTAATGTTGGCATGTAGTCATTGATTTATTTTAGCAAGCTGTGCTCTCATTTCAACATTATAGAGATGGAGGATGATTGCAAACAGTGGGAGGAGGATTTTTGATTCCACCCTCAACACTTTAAACACCTGTTGTATCAGGGTGCGAAGGGCTGGAGATAAACAAGTTTCACAGGTTTTCTGTGTTATATTTCACTTTGACTAGTGAGATCTTCATTTCATCTTTTGGTTTTGAGACTTCACTGTAAGCCTGCTGAGGAGAAAACAACAATGCTGAAGGTACCTTAGCTCACAGATACTTGACTATTAACCTACTTGTTTTGTAGCATTGCTATTTTAGTTTAAAACCACAAATAGCAGCTTTGTGAACAAGCCTTAGGAGCTTGATCAAGGATCCGTTATGACAGGGATTCCCAATCAGGATTCAGGAAAGCAAGTTCTTGGGTAATAAATCTTTCTCTTTTTTGTACTTAATGTGTTAACCTATTGAGCTCCTTTTTGGAAAGAAGAAAATAGTTGCGTTTGGCAATTTATTTGGACACTTTATAAAACAGATAATTTTTTTAGTTTAATTTCTGAATCAATTTGAGAATTTGTGATTTAAAAAAGCAAGAGCAAAACACTTTAAGTTAAATTTAACACTTTTTTTTCTTATGTTAATGAATGCAATTTATATGAAAAACAATACAGTGAAATATATCAAATCAATTTATTTAGTTATTTTCAAAGATGTTTACATTTTAGTATAGCCTGGAGAGTTCACTTGAATTCACATGTTCCATGCCAATTTACATCTTCACATGTTGCTGTTACAAATTCAGATGAAAATACTGCTACGTCTGTCTAAACCAGTTTAATTTCATTGTGTTTCACAGAAAGAGTTCATGCCGTACTGGAACCTTAGATGAAGTCTGTAGTATGCAGTAAATCAAATTCAGCAAAGGCACACAAACACATAATACTGCCATCGCACCAAGACTGTGAAAAACAGTAATGCACCAAAAAGGAATGAAACGTTTCATTTCAGAGTTCACAGTGGAGTCAAGGTGAGCAAATCTGCTCAGACAGTTGCGAGAAAACTCTGACACTACTGAGGTTCCCAGCCTGAAGAGTTCACTTCAAAAGACTGAAGTGAATTCACATATTCCACACTATTTTACATCTTCATATGCTGCTGTTACAAATTCAGATGAAAATACTGCTACATCTCTACAGTTTCATTTCATTGTGCTTCACAGAAAGAGTTCATGCCGTACTGGATAGCTCACAGATATTTGACTCTGATGAATTAACCTACTTGTTTTGTAGCATTGCTATTTTAGCTGAAAACCACAAATAGCAGCTTTGTGAACAAGCCTAAGGAGCTTGATCAAGGATCCGTTATGACAGTGATTCCCAACCAGGGATAGCAAGTTCTTGGGAGTACTTGGAAAGATTTTGTTTTTTGTTTGATAAGCAAAAATAATGAATCTCTCTTTTTTTTTTGTACTTAATGTGTTAACTTATTCAGCTCCTTTTAAGAAAGACGAAGAGAGTTGGGTTTGACATTTATTTTACTCACACAGATATTTTTAGATAGTTTAATTTGATAAATTAATTTGAGAATTTGTGATTTAAAAAAGGAAGAGCAGAATATTTGAAGTTAAATTTAAAATGTAAATTTTTTTTTAATGAAAAACTACACTGAAATTTATTTTCAAAGATTTTTAAATTTTTAAATGTTCTTCTATATTATATATAGAACTATATTATACTATATATATATATATATATATATATATATATATGTTAAGTATAGCCTGAAGAGTTCACTTCAAAAGACTGAAGTGAATTCACATATTCCACACTATTTTACATCTTCATATGCTGCTGTTACAAATTCAGATGAAAATACTGCTACATCTCTACAGTTTCATTTCATTGTGCTTCACAGAAAGAGTTCATGCTGTACTGGAACCTCAGTGTCACAGTGCTGCAGGGAAAATTCAGTCGGTCGTATGACCTTTGTGAGTCCATCAGCCCTCAAAAACATTGTGACTTGGGGTGAAATATTGATAAAAATGCTTTTGATTTACTGAACACTACATACTCCACATAACAAGTGCTTAGTGTGCTCTGATTTTGCTCTCTCTCCAGTGTCTAAATGTGACTGCTACGTCGTCTTAAAGTTACCCACGGCCTGTGCCTGCTGCCATCGCACCAAAACTGTGAAAAACAGTGATGCACCAAAATGGAATGAAACATTTCGTTTCAGAGTGTACAGCGGTGTCAAGGTGAGCAAATCTGTTCAGATGGTTGCAACTTGCAAGAAAACTCACACTTATTACTGAGGGTTTTCTTGACTGAAAGGTTTTGTTGCAACTGTGCCTTGCCCTTCCAATCTCAGCTGACAGCATGAAGACGAAGAGAGTTGGGTTTGACATTTATTTTACTCACACAGATATTTTTAGATAGTTTAATTTGATAAATTAATTTGAGAATTTGTGATTTAAAAAAGGAAGAGCAGAATATTTGAAGTTAAATTTAAAATGTAAATTTTTTTTTAATGAAAAACTACACTGAAATTTATTTTCAAAGATTTTTAAATTTTTAAATGTTCTTCTATATTATATATAGAACTATATTATACTATATATATATATATATATATATATATATATATGTTAAGTATAGCCTGAAGAGTTCACTTCAAAAGACTGAAGTGAATTCACATATTCCACACTATTTTACATCTTCATATGCTGCTGTTACAAATTCAGATGAAAATACTGCTACATCTCTACAGTTTCATTTCATTGTGCTTCACAGAAAGAGTTCATGCCGTACTGGAACCTCAGTGTCACAGTGCTGCAGGGAAAATTCAGTCGGTCGTATGACCTTTGTGAGTCCATCAGCCCTCAAAAACATTGTGACTTGGGGTGAAATATTGATAAAAATGCTTTTGATTTACTGAACACTACATACTCCACATAACAAGTGCTTAGTGTGCTCTGATTTTGCTCTCTCTCCAGTGTCTAAATGTGACTGCTACGTCGTCTTAAAGTTACCCACGGCCTGTGCCTGCTGCCATCGCACCAAAACTGTGAAAAACAGTGATGCACCAAAATGGAATGAAACATTTCGTTTCAGAGTGTACAGCGGTGTCAAGGTGAGCAAATCTGTTCAGATGGTTGCAACTTGCAAGAAAACTCACACTTATTACTGAGGGTTTTCTTGACTGAAAGGTTTTGTTGCAACTGTGCCTTGCCCTTCCAATCTCAGCTGACAGCATGAAGTGATTCTCCACCCTTGTTCTTGAATAAGTGATGAATGATATGTTGGTGATGTCACTAACATTCAAATGCTGGTATAACAGCGAAGCAATTCTATATGAATAATATGTATAATTATTTAATCCCCAAAATATTAATCAAAACACTTGCTAACTTGTCAGCCAATGACTAAATTTGTTCCATTGCCCTGGTAAATAAGTTAATAATAATTATTAATTTATAATAATAATTAAGCACAAAATGACAAGGAAGTTTTTCCTTTTGTTGCATACTGTCAGAATTGTCCCACGTATATTATTTGTCAGAATTCTCATCCATTAATGATTTTATTAGTTTTTTTGCTTTTCTAAAGTAATAACATTTATAATTTTCTTTTTATAAGATTTAGTAATTAAGTATGTGAACTTGAGTAAAAGTGCTAGTTGCAATACATGTGAAATGATGGGTTTGCTAAGCATGACTTAAAGTTTCCTTTTAATGTTCGACGAATGAATAGAATAAGGCCACTTCGTTGTACCCAGTTTTTGAAATTGCTTACTGCATTTATAGGGTGAACCATTTGCTGATTGTTAAGACTTTAACAGAAGTTATGACCATAATTCATGCAAAGCATCACAGGGTGTAGGAAAAAGTGTAGAGCAACAGAGGGAGAGCTTTTGATCTAAAATAAACTCACCGCTATGTTATTGTCTCTTCAGAACATTCTGGAATTCCACATATTTGATGCTGACAAGTTAACGAAAGATGACTACTGCTCCACCATCCTATTCGACGTCAATAACCTCACACCTGGACAAAAACAAACAAAATGCTTCATTACAGATGATAAGGTAGATGAAAATATCATTGATTAAATTATTAAATTGTACATAGTCTTTAAAGTAAAAGCCTTTGGTGTCCATTACTTTAAATCAGTGTATGAAAGTCAAGCATAACAAATATAGACTGATATAGTCCTATCCATCTGTCTGATTGTGATGAACTTATTTTCCTGAAAAAGAGTGAGCTGTGGGTGGAGTTTGAGATGACCGTGAGGTGAGTGAGAATGTTATTAATCGAAAACAATAATGGTGGCATTATTAACCATGTAATGCACATTAGTTAGTGATAGTCCTCTTCCTCCTTATAAAAAAATCATCACTATTACTGTACATCAGACTGAACTAATCTGTCACTTTATCTCTTCTTTTTCAAGCTCTGAGAAGCCTGAACCGTACTTCTCTAATGGAGTGCTGATGGTAAGAGTTTTGTATATTAAAAAGAACAGGTTATAAATGATTGTGGTATTTTATTGATATTCATCTAACATTACATTTCAGTATAAGCTTAACCCACTTACACGTATTAAAATAAGTAATAGATGTACACATTGTATTCAGTAAAAACGTCTGCGTCTTTCATTTGATAAATCTCAGTACTGTACTGACTGTACAGTATATTTTACACATACAGTATGTTAAAATCTTTAGCAGTATCATAAGGGTCAAGTTCAGGCTTCCATAAAACAAAACTGACTGTACTTTGGAAATATTTGTTAAACAAACACACACACACAAAAAAAAAAACACTAAATTTTTCCCTCATTTTTAGGCAGGTCTATTCTGTGCACTGGATGTTAAGGTGAAAAAGCGTCTAAGGACTCATGGTAAACAGAAGAATTTTCTGGTTTTAAACATAATTATATCCATAAATCTCTACTTTTCCCAAGTTAACCTCCTCAGTGATATATGTAAATGCATATGAGGCTTATTAATAACCACTGAAATCATGAGAAAATTATAATACATATTTTAGTGATTTTTCCATTCCATAAGTATACTTAAAGCTTGGGTAGGCAGTTTCTCCAACTACTAGTGTCATCTAGCGGAACTACAAATATAAAGCATGTTTTCCAAAGTATTCTATATTCTTTGATGTTTTCAAACAACCTTTGCAAAAACGCCCCTTTCGCGCGTCAAGCTTCCCCTCCAACTCAAACATCACAAACACAGCTCTTTATGGGTCTAAAAAAGTGAAGACATATGTCAACCGGTAAAAGTAGACTACTGTCAATAAAAGCTCCAACAAATTAGGAATACTTTTAACTTGAAGTTTAGCTTAACGTTACCTGTCGAGAAGAAACTCCGCAAGTTCGTTGCATCGATTGAACCAGTATTCAACATTGGTTTATCGGGTTGTCTGTCTTTATGTATTTTGACATGTCTTCAAATTTTGCTTGCACTTCTGTAAAGGAATCATTCATTTTCCCACACCGGTTAAACGCCCTCTGGTTCCAGCTGTTACAGTAGCCACGCCCCGAACTCGGACCGAATACAATGATTGGACGAATCATTTAGGGTCCTGAGCTTTCCACAGAAGAACACCACTTTAATTATTGATTGCTATCAGGATGTGAAGAGACTTATGACAAAAAAGACGTTTCTGGAAAATACTGCCTACCCTTGCTTTAACAGTAAATACCTATTCTACAATGCAATAAAAATAAGTTTTTAATTTTATATAAATAGGACCTTGTTCATTTTTAAATGTGTTGCATTAAGAACAGAGAAAAAAGTGATATGTTTCTCAGTGTTTACCTCAGCTGAGAAGGACATGATGTTAAAACTGCGAGGCGCATATAAGGAAGACTGTTTGATCCCAGGCTCTGAGGAAAACCCCAGCTGCTCACAGACTATTCGCTACTACATAAACCGAGACCTGGAGACTGAGTTTAGTCTCATCCCACCAAAAGTGTGTCATTGATTAAACTGATGATTTTTTTACCTAATCAATTTATCAAGCATGCATATCACTGACAGCTGAGAGTGTGTCATGCTTGTTTATTTGTTTGCATGTTTGTTGCTTGTCCAGGCTGGGGCAGAAGTGGACGGGAGAAATCCAAAGACTGCAGACATTCTGTCATCAGTCCCTATGAAACCGTTACCAGTCAAACCGCAGATTAAACTCTGCATGCCTGTTGGACAGGTGGGTACTAGTAAAATCTAATTTGAATGGCAGGCAGTGCTGGGTAAGTAAAAAGTTTTAAAATATTCATAATCAGATTACAGTTACTTTTTTATGGATTACTTGATTACAAATTATTCACTCAATGGCAGTAAATTATTCATCATTTTTCTTTTAAATTTTACTTAAAAAAATTCTACTGTGTGTCAAATTGAATACAGTGAGTATTCACAATATATAATGGCCATGTAAATGACATGTAAATGAATTTTTAATCCATGCATCTGAATTCAGGGACAAACGCACCTCTCAGTCAATTATACCATGTATGAGATAATAATTACTAAACAATGCTGATGTATAACTGACAAAAATATTTAAAACCTGAAAGAATTTGACCATGTCATTGCTGTTTTCATGCTTATTAATATTTGTTCATGTGATCGGGATTCCCAAACTTCTTTGTCAGTCAAACCACTCTGACCTATATTTACTTGGAAGCCTCCCTGAGATTTAAAGTTAATATTTTAATAATTTAAAAACACATTCATGTTATCTGATGTTGGTTAATGGTGATATATTTTATTTCTCTTAGTTTTTTTTTATAACAATAAGCCCATATAAATCGATAAACACGTTAGGTCAAAAGCAATGTAAAAGTAATCAGAATAAAAGACCTAAAATGAGTAATCTAGATTACATTACTAACTACAGTTTTCATCATGTAATTTGTAACAGACTACAGTTTGTAAGTAATCGACCCAGCACTGGTGGCAGACATGTAATTTTTTTTTTTTTTCAATATAAAAATAAAACCTAACTAACTGCAACTCTTTTAGGGTGAAGTGGATCTGCAACTAAGCACAGAGGGCCGGTAAACAATTTGAATGGCTTATCTCTAATTAGTTCAGGAACAGTTTAAAGAAACTACTTTGGCATGTAATCCATCAGCCAAACCTGAATGATTTTAATTGTGTAATTGATCATAGTTAAATGAGACAAAGCACTGTAAACCAGTCAGATTCCATTCATCTCTCAAAATAATCGTGTGTGTGTGTGTGTGTGTGTGTGTGTGTGTTTTGAAGCTCTGACGAAAAGTTGGATATGCGTCTGGATTTTGATATTCCAATGGAAGAAAAGAATTTTCTGGTGAAGAGACAAAAAGTCGTTTCACAAGCTCTTCAGAAAGCTTTGAATCTCAGCTCTGCACCTGAGCCCAGCAAGGCAAGAAAACAAACACAAACTTGAGTATTTGCACATTCAACAGACACTTCCTGGCAGTGTCACCTGACATGCAGTTTTACTATTGTTCACATCAATTTTAATATATATAATAATTTTCATTTGAATTTAAAATGATGATAAGAAATACCATTTTGCAATATTAACCAGCATAACAGACTGTTTTGTACAGTTAATAATAACAGATAACACAGGAAGCAGATAACACTGTAAGCTTTGCAATTTCAACTAATAAATTGGCAGCGGCAGCTCTTATGATAAAAATAAGGTGGATATGGCATGTCTTGTTCCAACAGATAATGCTTGTTTGATTAATTGATGAAAAATATATATACTTATAAGATTGATGTGACTTCTCAGGTCCCATTGGTGGCTGTGGTGTGTTCTGGCGGCGGGACCAGAGCGATGTGTGGCACATTTGGAGGCCTAAGAGCTCTGCAGAAACTCCAGCTTCTTGATACAGTCAGCTACATCACAGGGGTTTCTGGCTCCACCTGGTGAGTATAAGGAGCACTACAGGCCTGTCCATTTCCAAATCAGTGCTTCATCAGGCTTTGCTTCAAAACCCAGATTTTACATTAGATATGTCATTAAACATCAAACTTTCTTTCATTGTCTCATAGGACTATGGCTTCTCTTTATGATGAGGAGACCACAAAGACATAGCAGATTATGAGGAGAATGATCTTGAAGAAAATAAGATTCTGTTGTTTCTGTGTGTGTCTATAGGTCATAAAGCAAACTCAGGAGTACTGTGGCACTACAAAGAGAAGATGGAAGAGAGAGAGAAAGAAGGACTACTTGTGTCTCTTATTGACATGTGGGGTCTGGCTATAGAATACCTCATCCAAGGGAAGGTACTAAATACCCTTGATATCACAGAAACAAAATACATTTTTAGCATAAAATGCAAATAAATGGCTACCATTAGAAGTTTAGAAGAAATTCATAAATAATTTTCTTACTCAGAAAAAAATGGGAACACTATCTGACCAGCAGATGGCACTATCAAAGGGCCAGAACCCTCTTCCCATCTACACAGCTCTCAACATGAAAAATAGTAAGACAGGATGTACCATAGAGACTGGTAAGAATTGATTTGAATTTACTTTGGCTGGTTTAGTTTGCCTGCTACTTCCTGTCTTACAAGATTAGGGTCCATTACGGTTAATAAGTTAATTATGTTTGTTCCTCAACGTATCAATTCTCTGTATTGAGAGCAACTAAAAGTGCTTACTGTAGATATGTTGTCCATGTTTCTCTTTGTTCTTTTCTCCTTCAGAATGGTGTGAGTTCACCCCATATGAGGTGGGATTTACCAAGTATGGTGTCTTCATACCTGCACAGAACTTTGGGAGTGAATATTACCTCGGCCACATGGTCAAGAAACTCCCAGAATCTGGAATTTACTCTCTATTGGGTAAATATATTTAAATACTCCAAAGGCTAATTAATGGTAAACAATTTTAAGTTAGAGATAGTGATTGGTTGTATTCAAAATGTTAGTCAAAATGTGTTGTGTTTGCAGGAATATGGAGCAGTGTTTTCTCCCTGAGTCTGACTCAGCTTTGGAGTCGCATCACTGGAGTGATCCCATCCTGGGCCAGCAAGATTGGGGAAGAAGTGAACCAGACAGGTAAGAGGATTCCCTGTGAAGCTTCTCAAAAGTTTGGTTGCCTTTTAGCTGTATTAATGAGCATAAAGATCCTAGTTCTTTGTTCAGACCCACAAAAATTTTACCTTTTGGGGGTACAGTGGCTAGTCACTGGGTCAGTATATCATCCTCCCTTATCTGTAGACACAGATGACAAATCATCAACGTCAGACACACTTCAGGCCAGCCCTAAGACTGACTTGGCAAAAAAGCTGAGCATCTTTCTGTCCAGCCGCCCCATTATCAGCCAAGTGTTCAACTTCCTTAGAGGCTTCCACCTGCACAGGAACTACAGTGAGAACTGTGACTTCACCACATGGAAAGGTCAGAACATCATTTATGCTGTCAAGTTTAGCCTAATTAGTACCATTGATTCCGTTTTATCAACCTAGGAAATGACTAATTATAAAGTGGACTTTCTGCAGACACACATCCAGATGCCTTCCCAAACTCCCTGACACCAGCAGATGCCACACTTGGCCTGGTTGACTCTGCTTTTGTCATCAAGTCAGGATTCCCTCCTGTGTTACGCTGTAACAGACGCGCGGACGTCATTCTGTCCCTGAACTACGCTTGGGACCCGGACCACTTCAAGGTGAGGAAGACCACAAAGATAATGTCAGATTACGAGGAGAATAGGATTAAATGTGATTCTGTTGTTTCTGTTTGTGTCCAATAGGTCATTAAGCAAACTCAGGAGTACTGCGCTGAACGCAAGATTCCATTTCCAAAGACTGATTATAAGAAGCTGGAGTCCGAGCCGATTAGGGAAGTTTATGTGTTTGAGGATAAAGAGAATCCAGATGTTCCCATAGTGATCCACTTTCCCTTGGTCAATGTCTCATTCAAGCAGTTCAAGTCTCCTGGTGAGTACCGCCATCTGTAACCTTTAGTATGACCATCATTTTGAAGAATGTTTAACCTGTTTTGTCCATGTAGTGATTGTGAGTGTGATCCAAAACATAATTGAGAAAGTCATACAAGTTTTGAACAACATGAGGGTGTGTATAAATGATGGCAAAGGATATTAATTTTTGGGTGAAATATTCCTGAAAGATGTTTAGATGGAGATTCAGCTTTTGCATAAAGATACTACTATTTTGAAGGTTTTTTATAAGGACAATAATTGTTGGGTCCGAGTCCACCTCGACCTCGAGACCACCTGAGTCCGAATCAAGTTTGAGCAGGAGATGCTTATTAATATCTTTATCTTAATTTTATGTTGTTTCTTATCTTTTATGTTTCCCATTACATATGATGTGGATGAAAAAATGTCCAAAAAAGGAGGAGTCAAATTTGAGTACAACTTTATCAATTAAATTGTTTTGTCAACCTTATATCAACTAAAAGCAATTGTGTGTGTGTGTGTGTATGTTTGTGTGGCAGGAGTAAAGAGAGAGGGTAAGGCGGAGCTGAAGGAAGGAGATTTTGATATTGACTTCACCAGTTTGTTAAGTCCATTCTCCACTCTCAACCTTACATACCAACCTGAGGATTTCCAGAAGCTGACCAACCTCACCACCTACAACATTCTGAACAACACAGATGTCATTTTAAACACGCTGAACAAAGCACTGAAGAGAAACATGGAGAGAATTCCTGTCACAAAGGCGTCAAAATTCTGATTTGATGTTGACACCGGAAGTTAAGGCTGACAGCAGGAGCGATTGGAGAGTGATTTTTGTCTATATTTAACTAAAAGGATTCATTAAAGGGATAGTTCACCCAAAAATGTCATCATTCATCACCCTCATATTGTTCCAAAATTGTGTGATTTCCTTTGTTTTTGTAGATCAATCTATTCTTTTCTGTTCTATAACAATGAAAGTGAAGGGTGACTAGGGACTGTCAAGCTCAGAAAATGACACAAAGCTTTAAAAAAAGTGTTAGTTAAATGTGTACACTACCATTCAAAGGTTTTTTTTTTTCTCTCTCATTTATTTAATCAATATATAAAAAATGAAAATTTACAATTTAAAATAAGTGTTTTCCTCTATAATACAGTATATTTTAAAATGTAATTTATTTCTCTACATTGCCAAATGAAATATGGACACTGGCTAAAAGCTGTTGAGTCATTTGGTTTCCATTACACATATTCTGACTTATGCTGAGAGATTCATTCTCTGACTCTGAGCATGAGTGTTGCTGCAATGCCTTTTTCAAAAAAAAAAAAGCCAAAGAGAAAATAATTCTGACATCATGTGAAGTCAGACTGACGATGCAACTCACATGATTTCACACCTAGAGCTGAGATATTTTTTAAAGAGGAATTTATTTTTATTTTTATTTTATATATATTTTTTTTATTTATTTTTTTTAATATTTTTTATATATTTTTTTTTAACAAGACTTTCATATAAAAATCCACCACAGAAGTCTGGGAAATATTACAACACAAATATGACACTTTCTAAACAAACACTAAAGCTGTAATCTAAATGAGCTATGAGACTGTAGTAAAATGTATTTTAATGCTAAAAAGATGAAAGAAAAACAATACAAAAGGCAAAGTTTATTTAAGCAAACAGCAGAGGACAAAAAGACGAAAAAAAAAAAAATCTAAACAGAAGCCATGAGATTTATTTGTTTTTTCCTGTGGGAAAATTATGATCAAAGAAGCTTTGATTGAACAGATCTTGAATATCTCACACAATACATGTCCAAGTTTGTTTCATGTTTAGATTAAAAGGAAATAGCTAACTATTTTCCCAACAGCAATTTGTGATGATAGAAAAACAAACAACTCTTCACTAGTTGATCAAAACATGCATTTATCTAAATCAGAGCCATGTGAGCACTGAATGGATTTGAATTTGAGTTGGAGCATCATCTGAGTTTTGTTGTGTTTGGAAATAGCAGTGGTGTTTGCAGTAATCCAGCTTCATTACAAAAAATGTACTTAATCAGTATTGTTGCCTTGTTTTTTAATAATATTCTCCCACTTTTAAAATTGCATAAGACATTACAAATTGTTTTCAGAGAACATATATTGAACTTTAAAAAAAAAAAATGTATACATTAGCAATGTTTCCTTTCTTTCTTTCTTGTTTAAAACATACATCTGTTGAAATGTAGTGAGGTTTAGGATTAGGTTTTGGGTCAGTAAGAGTTTTTTTTTGTTGAGAAATTAATACATTTTATTTGGCAAGGATGCATTAATTTGTTTAAAACATTGACATTACAGACATTTATAATGTCACAAAGGATTTCTAATTCAAATAAATGCTGTTCTTTTGTGCTTTCTATTCAATGAAGAATCCTGAAAAAAATTATCACTGTTTCCACAATAAATGTAAGTAAAAATTCCTGTTCGCTGCGGGGCCCGGTGCGGCCGCACCAGTTGAAAACCCCTAAGGACGGCCGTGTATATTCAAATTCAGTTCAATTTCAGTTTGCGTTCTCTGAATATATTTTAAAAAATATATCTCTATATAACATTGCATACAACTTTTAATTAAACTACTGGAAATTAATTTACTGGAAAACAAGGTGAACAAACTGATCAAAATAATGACTGTTCATTGCTGTTGACTTGCACAACAATAATGAACATCCGTTCATGACTTTATTCAGGTTGCTGGATAAATTATGGAAATGCATGCATGCATAATATTTTAAACAGCAGGGTTACCATGCTCTGATAGTAATAATCAAGCATTTAATTTAACGTAGGACCGAATTATTATACCATTATTAACCCAAGACCCAGTTTTGTGGTTCCTTTTCAAGACAGTTCAGAATTACACTGAGGTCAATAAAGCAGATTTGTACACAAAAGTTGACAAAAAGAGAGAGTCTGAACAGTGGAAAGTATTGTGAAGTCATAAAATGCTGTGTGGATTTCTCACCCATGAACAGGGGGTCATTTTCTGTTCCACAACTCATCTCTCTTCCACAGCGGTGGCGTTTTGTGTGGACAGGAAAAAGTGATTTTGGTTTGAGATGAGCATTTGGCCTCCTGGCCTTCTGGTTTGATGGAAAACTGCAGCTGATGGGAAACAGTTATGATGACTGGAGTCTGTGGGGAACGAACGCTATGTCTCGTCTGAGGATGGAACCACAAGAATGAAGAAAGAATGGAAATGAAGACTAATGAGGTGGTGGATGTGGGGTTGGGTGAGAGAAATGAAAGTAGTGGGATGGTAAAAACAAGTGTTTTTAAAAAAGGAAGATGGGGAAGGGAATGGAGATCTCAAGAGAGGGAGGGTCAAAAGCGAATGTGTGGTGTCCTTATTCTCAACCTGGACCTCAGCATGAACTGACAGTCAAAGTCAGAGGGGTTATTGCTCTCTAGAACACAGACATCTCTGTTGAACTTTCAACTTCTCAGTGCTCAATGCATCTGCAACTGTTCTTTCATATATTCCCCAAATAAGGACATTTCATGCTTAGCAGAAATGTGGGATCTGACATCTCACAGATGGGATGCATCCTGGTATAGACTGTGTGGAACAAAATGTGAGACTATAAATCCAAATCATAAACAGTGAAAATTAGCTGTGTTAAAGATGATAGATTGTTTTATGTTTTTGCTAACTGATAATTTAATGTCCCCTCTCTCTCTGAAAACAAGGAAATGCTGTTTACATTTCTGAAGCAAAAGGTTTTGTGCCAAGTCCTTGCTCTTCCCATAGGCAAATATGTACATACATTACATTTCTACAGTGGCGGATTTAGGTATGGGCGACGGTCGCCGTGATTTTGCCAAGTAAGACATGTTCTTTTTGTTGATCCTGGATCAACATAACTGTCCAAAAATATAGACTTAACCCAATCCCTACCCCTAAACCTAACCCTACCCATAATTTATTCCTAAAAACAGTGTGAAATGATAGCTGATTAACAAGGGTGTAGAAGCACCTAACCCTGATTGTAAGCCTAAAACAGATATTTCCTGAAAAGTTATATCTCAATTCTGATTGGTTGATTGGAATGTTGTTCCAGGATCAACAAGGATGTTGATCCAGGAACATGTTGCACTTGGTGAAATCACGGAAGTTACAACCAGTTGCTTTTGGGAATGTACCCCTGGTCGGGATTTGGTGTGTGCGCCCGGAAGCATAGACGGAGGGTGAACCAACTCCAGGCTAGGGATGAGCGTCTTGATACTGAAGTATCGATATATCGATACTGATGTGAATATCGAAAGTATACTAAAATAAAAAATATTGATAGTAAGGTATTTTTTTTTACCTGTGATTTTGTTCATTTAACAAGAAATTTTATGCATACAATATGCACTGAATTGGACGAATAACCTATGTTAGTGAATAATTGTGTAGGATAGAACTATTTTCCTGCTCATCTGAACACACAGAAATGCTGCAGGACAGAACCAATCAATCACAGAGAGCGTTAATTGGCTATAGGTCGTCTGTCTCATTAATGTTAATCTTACAATAAAAGAAAAAAGGGAATCACTCGCTTCTCTTGATTGAACTGCTTTTGTAGTTTTAATTTTTTCAGTTTATTTAATTTATTTGTAATGACTACACTAAAGTGATTTTTACATTTGATTATCCTATTTGTTTTTCTTACTTGAATGCTTCTGTTTAGATGTAAGATGAAAAAAGTAATGCACTAATTAAATAGTTTCTTTCTTATGTTATATTTGTTCTACTGTTTTTTCTAATTTTAATAGCAAAGACAACATAAAAATATCTATATTTTGATTATAGTAATAATTATTATTAAGAAAAGAAGTGGAAGAAAAGATGCAGCATTGCAGGTGATTTTGCTTTGGAACCTTCAGAAAACTTTTAACTCGATTTTTCTCAAAATTGACTTTGCTGACTCTATCGACTTTAAAAGGGTATAGCACAGTCATTTTTTTTGGTCAATTCCAACAAATCATACATCATTTTGAAGGTTTTTTAATGGAAATTGTGAAAATAAAAAGAACTCATTTTTGAAAATGTGCTCATTGCGACTCATTTTGCCAGCACAGGTCTATATAAACATACAGATTTATTATATATACTGTATATTGTTTTACAAAAATTTTTACATATTAATAAAATACATATTTTTTTATAAATAATGTGCAAATGTTTGACATTATCAGCCTCAGTATTACCTGTTTTAGCAGACATCATAACCCACAACATTTCTTTTACACAGCAAAGTTTCTATTCTTGCTATTGCTGAGTGCTTCTATTTTAGAAATCTTATTACGCTCATCCTTCATCCACTGCATACTTAAGATCTCCTTATAGATTCGCAATAATAGGGCCACTGTTATAATCTTTCATTTTGTGAGGTACTTCATGCGAGTATGTTTTGGATTTTTGTCTTGTTATTTCTTGCTTATCAGTACTTCCTGAATATGTTGATGGAGAATCCATTCATTCTTTCCTCCCCTCTTTTCCACAGGCTACCATATAACTCCAAAGCATAACCAACCTTCCCCCGTTCCTAGTTATTGGCATTTGGTTTTCTTCACATTCTTTTTCTTTTCATAAACCCCTAAATATTCCAGCATGTCCTTTGTATTGATGTGAGGATTATACAGTACTGTTCTTGATAAGCGTACAAGAAGTTCTATTTCCTCTGCCATATTTTATATCGACTTGAAAAATTCCGTTTTAAAGTCCATTACTTTAATTACATTACACACCACGAAAACTGCAGGCAGGAAGCATATAGATGGGCTTCCTCTGCTTTGTACGAGTCTGTT